TTAACAAACTCATGTAGGCCAACTCGTTTGGGGTTTCTGGTACACTCATACTTTCCAGAAAGAGGTTTTATGAAATTTCTGACCTCCAAAGCTATCCATTAACCCAACCTAGTATGCAGGCCGATGACCTTGATGCCTATTGAGGTTTAAATGTATAACACGCCTATATTAAATATTAAAGTATGGTGCTTCTGTTGAATGAAAACCTTCAAAATATATAATAAGATTTTTTAAGGATCTTGTGAAAGTATGCCATTAATGCCCATGCATTCTGGGAGTTGCGCTACAAAATGAGTGTCATGATAGTATAAATGAAATGGATATTGTGGTATGAGACATAAAAAGTTGGGAGAACAGTGCATGTATATTAGCCAATGCTATGAAGTCATAGACAGCTGCTAACTTGTCAGGCATCAGCAGCAAACTGGGCGAAGCTTGCAGCCTCAGGACATAACTGTGGATCTACTGTATACCACAACCAATGAGCAACTCGTGCTGGTGTGGATGAAAAAATCCAAACTATTGCTAGTAAAGTATGGCAGCAATGGGGGATAAAGTAAGGGTAACAATCATCTCACTCATCACAGTTTTCTCTCACAGTTCTTGGGGAAACTTTCTACCCTAAAATATTGTATACTTGTGAGTGCGTTTGTCAGGTATGGTGATAGCTACGTTGTAACAAGTACTTCTTCATTTCAGGTGGTTGTGTGAAATCTTAGTGCAAATGTGCTTTTCACTCTTATCATCATTTGCCACAACAGCAACTCATTTTGATCCTGTTTTCTCTCTGTTGTGTTTGTTTCCATCACTCTCTGCCTTTACACACTTTATCATGTGGGGTTACAGTTCAGGGAGGAACTCCCTGCTACTGCAAATGGTGCACAATCATCAGGTAAGAATGAGACTGATGATGATTAACTGCCCAGAGTTACTTTAAGCGCCATGTGACCTTTTAATCCATGTGAAAAAAATGTATTTGGATTGGTCCATTAAAAGCAATAAGATACCACTGATCATTAAACCTTCTAGCCTCCATCAGTGCCAGAGGTGGACAAGAGTGTGTTTCACCTTATCTAAGCTGATTAGATAACTTAAATTATCTCCATGGGGTAATTGGGTCACTGCAACAGCAGATACTAGCATATAGATAAGAGTAAGAACAAATGAAAACTGTGTCTGTCATTAAACTGACCAGATAATCTGACTTAGAATAAAGAGCATTTTAATTGTGTTTTGCAGAACCACATTTATGATGCTGGATCTTCTGCCAAACAACTCAAACCTGCTACAAACCTGCCACCCGAACAACCATAAACAAGCCAGGCGCCACCTAAACTACACAAAACCTGTAGCGCTCCTCTGTAAATGTTTGCTGAATGGGAGCAGGCAAAACAAGCGCAATGACCAACCAGGGGTTTGGCAGTTTTCCCAGCAAACACCAGCACTGGACTAAAAATGACTTTGTAATCAGAGGGTTTAGAGAGCAAACAAAGGAGGAGGGACGAAAACCAGGGAATGGTAGAGCGAGCCTATGAATTACTCAGCAGACTCGTCACTCCCGCTTTCCTCCCTGCAGGAGATAATGGGGATCATCAGTCTTCTTGCCCTCCTTACACCGCATCTTTTAACTGCTAGTCTGCATCCAGGTCAGCTGAGAAATACCAAAGGTCCTTTCCAATAACTGTGGCGTGTTGAATGTGGTAGGCAGGGATTCAGTCTACCAGCATTGTTAGAAAAAGGGACTCGTCTAACACAGAAAAAGTATCAAGCTAGCTGGAAAACTGCACTGCTAAAGGCCCTAAAAACAAATTTTCTCAATCAGCCTCTTACTGTGACTGGTGGAGTCCTACAGTCCAGTACAGTAAAGTAAATGTTGCTGCAGCCAGCAGCCAGATAGCTTAGCTTAGACTGGAAACAGGGGGAAACAGCTAGCCTCTCTCAGTTCAAACCTACAAAATTAAAAAACAAATTTAAACTAATAGCACCTCTAAAGCTCACCACTTAATAAGTTATATTTTGTTTGTTAAAAATGTTTGACAAAGAATGTTTTTCTTAACTTTGATTGTTGCTTATTTAGTCATAGGGCTGGGGTTTTTGAAAAAAGATTTTATTTAATTTTACTCATGAACTTGTTGAATAAAGATTTTATCGTAATTGTTTTGGATCTTCTACCTCAGATTTGTTAAATGATCCACTGTTTGGCAAGTGTTTGTTATGTTCTGACCACAAAGAATAGCTTAAAACCACAATTAACCATCTGGTTTATTCAACTTTCACTCTGGAGCAAAAATAATGATTTTACATATACCATGATAATTGATAACATTTTTGACCATATCGCCTAGCCCTATTTAGACACGAGTGTTAAATGTAATGGAGGAATGCAAAAGATTTAAAGCCACATTTCAGGGGCTTTAAACCTAGAAATGCTCTTTTACCTTCTTTAAGTCCATTTTCCACATATAAAGCAATTCTAGGTTTAACTCAGTGAAGGTATCAAGATTATTTAGCAATCTGCTTCATGAGACAGGCCCCAAGTCTGCACAACTGTTTTCAAATGATTTAACTACAAAGACATGCTGAATAACAGAGCAGCATTGAGACAAATTGTAAACAGATGCACATAGAAAGAATATATTGGCCAGAATGTACAGGTTATCATAAATGACTGGGTGGTTAGGTTACAAGTACTCATCTGAAAACAGTTGAGTGAAGTGATTTAAACATTTTAGGACACTTGTTCACTCAGAAATAAACAAAGTGCAAGATAAATTGAAAATGATTGCACCTCTAGAGGAAACACTATTTATTTTAACCACAATAAGAGCGCACAGACTGTTTATTTCACACATCAGCAGGCCTAAGCTGCTGACGCTGGGAAATGATCTCGCTGAGCTGCTGGATTGTCTTAAACTCGTGTTATTCCAATGGCTGCTGCTGCTAAACTGCTTAAGAAAACATACATGACACTTCTATTCAACTTCATGAATAATGCAGCGTTCCTGCACATTCACATGCACCTACTAGGGCACACTCACGCATGCTAAAAACCAAGATGGGTCTCTCAGAGGGACACAGACATGTCTGACTTTAAATCCCTATGATAAGAGCTCGTCAAGAAGAACAGTAAGCCTGCAGGATCCTCAGGCTCTCATCTCCTTCCAATAAAACGAGCCATCTATTCTATCCTGAGCTGAGCTGCACCGGATGCAACTGAAGGGCATCATCATGAGGTGAAGAGTTCACAGTAGCATCAAGGAATAGGATTTTAGAGTGAAACAAAGAGGTTGATTTCTCTTTAGTCAGTGGAATAAAAGCCACAAAGAAGAGCAGAAGGCAATGGAGTCAGGAAGATACTGCTATCAGAGCTACAACATGGCAGGATGTGACATGTAGAGAGCAGGAAGAGGAAACTGGACAGATATAGATTCATTTGGTTGCCGCTCCTGAAAACATGTCTATCCCATTAGGGGCCTCAGTGGCAGCTAATGTGCTTATCAAAGCGTGCACCTTTGGTCTATTCCTAACCCTGGTACGGTGCTGTTACACACAGCTAACATGGAGAAACAAAAGACTTTTAATTCAACTACGAGTCAATGGGTTTTCTATTATTTCAAGTTCTAGGACTACACTTATTAACATGCAGAGAAAAAGTTCACAAGAAACAGGGTCACACCCTGGGGTCAAATCCCAAATCTAATCAGACTTAATGTAGGTCATTAATTAAGTATGACTTTACCACAGCTCTGCTAATTTCACCTCAGAAGAACGGCTCACAGTTAAACAACATGAGTCTCATTGAACTAACAAAAAACATAAGAAATGTTTTGCTTTTTTTAAATAAGCACCGTCTTTATTATTTACAGTGCACTGAAACTGCATTTAAGGATTTCAAGTCAACAGAAGGAGGAGCCTATCTTCATTTACTCTGTACAGAGTGCAGAGTGACTACAGTTAAAGGCCTTCCAGCACCAAATATGAAGAAAGAAAAGACAGTTTGGGTACATGCAGGTTAGATTCATCATGCAGGTTTCAGTTACCAGGTGGCATAAATATGGGTGATTTGCTGTTTTATTTTACATGTGGCTCCAGAGAGGCTCAAGTCTGTTGTGACGGTTATATTGAGACACTTTTTACTACATTCAGCTGCATAAAGGTTGCATATCCAGTATTAGTGATAATGACATTTATCAAGGAAAGTGATTAGGTAGTGTAATAAACTGCTTTCCCATTTACAGGACTTTGTACGTGTACACGATGTATTTGTGCTGTCAAAGTACAAGCAGGAGATAAAACAGATACAAGCATGGAGTACATTAACTTAGACACATGTGCACCTACAGGTATGGATGCCCACGAACAAGTGTACAGCTAATATCAGCAAAATACCTAGAAAAACTTAAGTAAGATCCAAATATTTGTTCACATAAAAACCTGAAGCCTATTTCGCCTTTGTTAAGCAACGAGAGGAACTTGTTAACTGTTTTTCTCACGACCTTGGTTCAGAGTCAGAAACCATTTAAAGATGGTCAGACAAGATGAGAATGATAATTTGCATTAACAGTCTTAAAGAAAACTTCACTTAAAAAAAGACAGAGCCTTTGATTATGTGATACACGGACCCTCATAACAGAAGCATGGGTGTGTCAGCTTAACTGTTAACGTTGAGGCAGATAGCCATCTGATCAAATTTGGTATTTTGAGTCTGAATGTGTGACATCTATAATGTTAGGACAACAGTAAATGAAACATAGCATGCAGCCCAGTATCTAGTGCAGTTTAGCTGAGCAACTCCCAGTGCTGCAGTAGTTTACAGCCATGAGGAGAAAACTTTAGTTTTGGGAATGACTGATGATGACATGCGCCACAAAGCTAAGATAAAGGGCGGTGGTTGTGGGAGCTGTCATCCACAATGTTTAAAGCACCGCTGCAGGGAAAATAAAACAGCATGCTTTAACCACATTGTGAAGCGGTAGTTTGTGTACATGTTGTCAAGTTACCTTCAGAGAGCTCCAGCTCCAGCTCCGCCAGCTTCTCACGGACCTCCGCCGGCAGGGTCATAGCGACAGCCGGCGTGGGCTCCAACATCATCGTTAGTAACCCGGTTGAGGTTCTCTCAGCCATGGTGGTCCAATACGGAGACCACAAATAGGTCCACTGACACGCCGATTTATAGGACGATGCGACCAGAAAATGAAAGAATTTAAAAACAACAACCCCTCCTCACTTGGTTTGGGCTACGGAGGGAAAACAGGGTGTTGGTGCTCCTCACGTCTCGTCGTACAGATGTGTGAGAATTCTCTCCAACCGTCATGACACGGCTAGCTGTGAGGCTAGCAGACACACCTGGCTGTGTGTTTCCATGTAGTGTGGTAGGACAGGACCCTGCCAGTGTCGCCGTGCCCGCTGTTCTGTCCCTCGCCACTGACGGTGTCCTGACTGGCTGCAGGCAGCTTCACTTCAGCTGTGTGGAGAAACCCATTCAACTCCTCGCTCGCTTCCCACGGCGCAGTCGCCATTGCATCATGGCAACAGCAGCCCTGACCGTGCGCGTTCACGAGGCCTACTCCAGTGTGTGCGTGTGTGCGTGTGAGTGTGTGTGCTTGTGTACTGCCCGCTGCCTCCTGATGTTCCTCATATTACTCGCCTGCCTCCTACTGTCACAGGGCTGTGTTGCACTGAAGTCCATGCAGTGACTTGGGAGATACTACTGTACCTATTGATTCATACTGCTATAGTATTTTGGGTGTTTTCTGCAGTTGGGAACTTTTTTAGATGTGACACAAAAATAACTGATTCTTTATTCTGCCATGTTGCCATGATCTCAAAAAAATGTTATATGGTAGTTGAATTATCACCTGACTAGATAGCATGCCTATTCAAAATTGGCAAAGAAATATCATATTTACAACTGGAAAAGACTACATTGTCTGAAGAAAATGTAAGTGTGCTTGCTCCTTACATGTAGCAGTAGTTAAAATACAAATACTGAAAGCAGAAATAGCCATTAAAAGGAAAGGAGAGTGAAGTAGAAGTGCTAGTTTAAATCAAAGTGCTGAAAGGAGTTGAAGATTAATTTGAAGTTCAAGCGTTGAAAGGAGTTAAAGTGTCTTTTGAGCAATAAGTGTCAGTCAAAGTGTAAGTCCTGAAAGAAATTAGTACAAGTAGGCTACATAAACTGAGAGACAATGTCACCTGAAGTGCTGGCTGAAGTGTATATGAGTGCATAAAGTCACTTACTAAGGCAAGGCAAGTTTATAGCACAATTCATACAGGGGCAGCAGATGCTTTACATAGAATCTCACTAAAAGGAATTCAAAACACACATTTATTTTAAACTGAGGGGGACAAACTATTGCCATATAAATATTCCACTAATATAGAAATTAGGACCTCAAAAATTTGAAATTAAAGTCAGGTTATAAACAATGGAAAAGCTTGTGTGACATGTACTGCAGGTTGGTGGGTGAGTGGGACAGATAATGGTCATACTTTCAGCAGTAGTTTGGTTGGTTGGAGTCTGGGTTAACACCCCATCTGAAAGTCATATCAACTTGTCAAGACAAACAAGAGGCAAAAGTGGAGATGGGATGGATGTCAAAGTCATGACTGGAGGCTGGCAGGAATCAGTATGCCATTGTCCAATGGGGTCCTGCCTCCTAACTCAAATGTTGCCAAAATTAGACATCAGGTGACGCATAATGACATATTTCTAAATATTTCAGTCATTGTTCTTTAACTTTATTGTACAGAAGCAAATATCTCTCTCTATATATATATAGAGATATATATATATATCTCACCCTCTTTGTGGGGTGGTATGTGTCATCCTCAAGCTCAGGTCCTCTGCCAGAGGCCTGGGAGTTTGAGGGTTCTGTCAGTATCTTAGCTGTTCCTAGGACTGCACTCTTCTGGACAGAGACCTCTGATGTTTTACCTGGAATCTGCTGTAGCCACTCTCCCAGTTTGGGGGTCACAGCCCCCAGTGCTCCGATTACCACTGGCACCATTGTTGCTCTTACTTTCCACATCTTTTCTAGCTCCTCTTTCAGCCCTTGGTATTTCTCAAGCTTCTCGTGTTCCTTCTTCTTGATGTTGCTGTCGCTTGGGATTGCTACATCTATCACTGCAGCCTTCTTCTGCTGTTTGTCAATCAACACGATTCTGGTTGGTTAGCTATTACCAGTTTGTCAGTCTGGATCTTAGCTCGGTCATTCTCAACTACCTTAGGATGTGTCTTCCATTTGGACCTTGGGACTTCCAGCCCATACCCTTGGCAGATGTTCCTGTACACTATGCCAGCTACCTGGTTATGGCGTTCCATGTATGCTGTTCCTGCCTGCATCTTTCACCCTGCTATTATGTGCTGTACTGTCTCTGGGGCATCCTTGCACAGTCTGCACCTGGGGTCCTGTCTGGTGTAGTAGACCCCAGCATCTATTGATCTTGTACTGAGTGCCTGTTCTTGTGCGTCATGATTAGTGCTTCTGTGCTGTCCTTTTCCAGCCACTGGTTGGATTTCTTGATATGATCATATATTGCTTATATATTATATATAACATTGGAAAGAAAAATGCAGCACACAAAATATAGTATTTGTTATTTATTGGAAACGAAGAGTTATATGATAATGCTAATGATAGTGACTTTTATTACTTTTCTAAAACACGTTTCAGAATGTGATGAAAATATCCAATAACACAGATATACAGAGAGAGAGAGAGAGAGATATACAGAGAGAGAGAGAGAATTAATTTGTACTATCTCTATCTCTATATAGTGTTTACTTCATAACAAATTATTTTCACATCTTTACACGGGTACTACCGGTTTTAGCTGCACTGTATTGGGCAAGAAAATTGCTATTCATATTAATTTAAATACAAGTTACATATGACTACATGTAAAACAAAAACTCTTTATCAGGCTTTATACATGTTTTTTGTTTCTGTTTTTTATGAATTTACATTTGTTTCTATTATGAGGCTCTGATTGGGTGTGTTGTTGTTATTTTGCCTGTTATAAATCTATTGAAATATATGTACAAAAACTTCAAAAAATAAATAAAGGCACATTAAAACCATAAGTTATATTTTACTTCATCTGTAAAAAAAAAAATAATAATAATAATAATAATAAGTTTAAGTGTTTCGTGTTAATACAACCAATAGGTGTCACTGTATTAACACAGTAAAAAAAAGGTTCTTCTCTGGCACGTAAATTATTATATTAATTTGTAGCTGACAGTGCTGAAGGTTTAGTGAAAGTCATGGTGATGAATCCTCTATTGTAAGTAAACATCTTTCCGTAGGGTATGTTTCAAATCAATGTGGTAGCTTGCTCCAGGATTCCTCTTGTTATGTTCAAAGAGGGCTCCATTCACCTCAGTATGAATGTCAACAAGATGTGTTTTCCTGTCAGAACACAAACAACAGTTTAGTCTACAGCTTCTCTAGCACATATGGAAACGGTCTGATGCTAAACACAAGTGTTTGCCTGTACCTTCTTTGGCCTTTGCATAAGGCGTCTGTCAGAGCCTTCAGGTAAATGGAGCAATGGAGTCCTTGCTCCAGTTGACGTGCATCTGTCCAGCAGTGACTCCAGAACACATCTGCATCTGTAGGGATGATATCACATCTGGCCAGCCCATCGTACCCATCTGTCTCCAGATCTTCATCCTGGTGGTACGTTGTGGCATAGGGCTGGGACTCGGGGATGCTGTACCTCTGGATGAAGAAGAGTTTGGGCTTGCCAGCCAGCATGGGGCATGCATCGGCAGTGAAAAGACGTCTCACATTATCCAGGCGTAGACCTGTGCTGTTCGAGTCTGTACCCAGGAGATAATCTGATGTGCCACGGCTCATGATGCAACAGACAAAGCCGTCACCTTCAAGGTTCTCTCTCTGTGTGGATATCTTTGCGAGGGTAGAATAAATGTCACCCCCACTTAGCCAATTGTGGACGACCACGTTGAATTGAAGAGCCTTAAATGTGTCTTCCAACATGACTGAGTGAGCAAGGAAAGATGAAACCAGAAGTTTTACCTTTGTAATACGTCACTTAGAAGATAAATGTTTTGTCCAAACAGTCTAAAACAAATAAATTCAGTTTGCTATCACATTGAAAGATTACAAAATCTTACAAAAAAATGAATCAACAAAAGTTGTTGCAGATTCATTTTCTATCAATCAACTAGTCTAATGAACTAACGTGACTTATTGTTTCGGCTCCGATTAAAATCAAACACTATTTATTTTATTTACTTTACATAAGTACTGTAATATTTCCAGTATTTCCATTTTCTGCTACTTTATACTTCTAAGCTTTATCATGTGACCCTTTGGAGGGGGCCTAACCCATAGTTTAGTTGGAAACCACTAGACTGAACTACCTAACTGTATACAAAATAGTTGAAACTAGCCCCACCTCAACCAGCTACAGCAGTAAAATACTGCTTACACATTGATGCATCAGTATAAACAATCTATAATATAATATGCCTGTCAATAGCTATTCTTCTACACAACAAGTCATATCACTTTTTATTCTTAAAGTACATTTTCCTGGTGAAACTTTTGTACTTTTAGTAGGATTTTAAATGCAGGACTTTCACTTGTAATGGAGTATTTAAAATTTTTATTTTGGTATTGGTACTTGTGTTTAAGTAATGGAACTCAATAGTTCTTACGCCACCGGACTGTTTTGTGTCTTACCTCCATCATTACCCACGCAGTCAATGATTAAACAAACTCCTCTGGGATTACTGTTAAATTTGTAGCAATCTAACGGACTCTGTAAGGCAAAGGAACAAGCAAAGAATAAATCATAAATGCACTTCACTAATTTAACACAGTCAAAATTATAGGGGGACGGGGTGCTTCAATAGCAGTGGTAGAATGTAACTAAGTACATTAACTAAAGTACTGTTCTTAAGAACAAATTATAAGTACTTGTACTTTACTTGAGTATTTCCATTTTATGCAACTTTATACTTCTTCTCCTTTCCAGGTAAATATTGTTATTTTTATTGCTCTCCATGTTTGTATGACAGCTTTAATTTCCTGTCCAGTGAAAACCATGTATCTCCAGATTTGGTGATTTTGAATGATCGAGTGTTCCATTATGGGTTGAGAAAACCCTCCTACTTCTTAAGCTAAATAAACAATTTAACCCCCTTCTTGGATTAGCGGGGAAATGCATTGTTACAAAGCTGCAAACAGGGCTGTTCTTCTGAGCTCATGAAAAGTTTACTTTTTAGAGATATGTGGTTCTCACAGAACAGCAATGCTACAAACATTTGATATCTCAAAGAATATAATGCATTGCTGTAGATAAAACTACCCAAAGGGATATAGACTAGTTAAAATTAGCACAACAATTAACAGAAACACCAGTAAAATGCAATATACACATATACATGTATATATGCAATATACGCACTAATATAAATCCAGAATCATCATATAAAACAGTAAAACACTGACAGGGAGCATTTTACTGGACATTAGAATATGTTATACTTTTGATACTATTGCCCAGATAATACATACATTTATTTAAGTAAGGTTTTGAATGTATAGCAACGTTTACTTAAGCAAAGGACCTGAATATTCCTTCCTCCACTGTTAAACAGTGAGTGAAAATCTTACCTGATAAGTCTGCTCTCGGTAAACAGGTGCTGGTATGTTTTCTGATGACAAAGGGCAATACAGGAATGTAAATACCAAAGTGAAACACGGCCTGGGGCTTTCCAACTGTTTTCACTGGGTAGCTAAGTTATTTCAGTGTACTAATATGTTGCCAGTCTTACCACTGTGGAAGGACTGTCCTCGTCTTGTTTGCAGTAGAGGGTGGGAACTATTTGAAGGGCTCAGCAGATGCTAAGGAGAAGATGTTTTTCCAAAATATTAGTTTCATGAGAGTAAAACAATGCAGCTGATGTTAACTTTTTTACTCTGTCATACTCACAGGAGCTCTGCACCTCTGTTGAGATATATGTAGTTCAGATGTAACTGTGAAAAGTTCTACACAGACAGAAATACAAGTAAATGTATGGTAAGTAATAAAGGATCATCTAGAATACTTTGTCATTTATTTTCTACCTGTTTGTTCATATGAAGCAATGTGTTTTTTAATGAGTAAAAATACAGTAAATGGGTTGATTGTCCTTTTAGACTGGCTTTTTAAAAAAAAAAAAAAATGCATGCATATCAATGTAGATGTGAAGTTCCTTGCTCAGGATCTAACTCCATGTTTTCTGTGCCATGCAGCGCTATGATCTAAACTTTCTTTCTTTGTGTTCTAAATACATTTATAGACATTCAGCATCTCCACATACACTAATACACTAAACTCTATCAAGCCTCAAAACGTATGGTCAGAAGATGCGTACATTTTGAACAAAAGCGTTAATATTGGTTTGATTAAGGTTTGGTTTTTAGTTGATTAAAGTAAAAAACATATGGCTTAATAAATACAGAGTTTAGTAGTGAAAAGTATGTACAAATGAATCTGCCCTACTGAAAAAGATATGTGTCCAACTAAAGTATGTCATCTTACCACTGCATCTGTAAACTAGGCGTTATGCTGGTATTCATGAACATGGTCTGCTTTGTCAGTGTTGTGAGTTAAATGAAACAGAAAATGAAGTGAATTTTTTTATGTTGGCTTTTATTTTATTTTGTTTTACTCTATTTTCTTTGATATAGAAACTATGTAGAGTATGTGATTTGGAGCTATTATGTATTTTTTTGGAACCAGTCAGCTGCATCCTGTGTTCATATTTGGTATTATCCCGTGTAGTAAATCATTCAGTGGTATGACGCACAAAATAAATCATTCATTAATTTTCAGTTCCCATTTTCAGCAGTTTCTTGTCAGACGAAACTGTCAACATGTCACACTTCATGTGCAAACGTTACAAACTCACTCACAAACTGAAGCCATTCGGTATTAAAAGGTGAAGATAAAATACAGTCTCACCTGACATCTTGTAAGCAGTCACTTTTTTGGCTAGGTCGACCCTGCCAATGTCTCGCAATTTTTTCTCTAGAATGTCAACTCTTTCAGGTGAAACTTTATCCAGCTTCTCAAGTTCTATGATCACATCCAGGAAATTCTGTCACAGAAGGTTAGCAAGGGGGAGTCAGAATGAATAAAATAGATGCAGAACAAATACTTACTCTGACATTTCTGTGTCAAGTGAGATGACACCAAAATTCCCCTCCCACACACACAAAAATCTTAGACTGAGTAAGTGAAAACAAAACAAAATGTCAGTGATCTTTCTCACCTGTGCCTTTTCCATCTTCTCACGGAGTAATATTTTGCTTAACAAGAATTTCAGACTGTCCAGATCGTCATTGGCCATTTCCTCACCTATATTAACCATCAACACTCTGCAGAAAGGAAAAAAAACACAATTACTCTAAGATCCACAAGTGTGTTAGCTTGTATTGTAAAAGTAACAATACCACAGTGTAGAAGGGGTGTAGGTAAGTAACTGAAAGTGAAAGTATTGCAGAATCAAGCATTATGATTAATCTATATAATATTATTGGATTATGAAAAATCCATCATAATAGTTTTGTTAGTTTATTTGTTATTATTATTATGAATCTGCACATTAAATAGTAAATAAAGCTTAAAATGAAGAGGAGTGGAGTATGAAGTAACATAAAATGGAAATACTCATGTACATTCTAAACTGCACTTAAGTACTGCGCTCATAAATGTAATTAGTTACATCCTCCCACTGCTAATTTGACTTCTTAAAAAGACGTCTTATGTTAATTGCACTTTACCTGAATTTTGGCAGAACCGGCCCGACTTTCAGAGTTCTCTCAAACTGCTCCCTGCTGGTTTTCCACACTTTCTTTAGGATATCATAACGTCTCAACGCCAATATCAGCTCTGCCAGGAACAGGTCCCACCTCTCGTAGCACATCGCTTTAGATTCCAGCGTCGCTTTTAGACAACCCACACTGTTGTCTGTGTCCAGGATTTCACACAGGTAGAGGAGAATCCTGCGTTCACCACTGCAGAGAGCCTCTGATATTTCATTAATCACCTGAAGCTGACAATGGTCTGGAAGAGCCATGGACTTTGTTTGAGGAAGCGCGATCGCTGCGGACGTTAACTAGCAATTAAGTCCTACACACCTTCAAACCGGATACGATTAAAAACTGTTAGGCTCTATATAAACATACAATCACGTAAAGAATGTACCAATAAGTGAGAAGATTACTGAATGAACCCACCGTAGGCTATAATGTCGAAATCGGACAGCAGAGGAACAAACTAAAGAGGAATTGAAATGACCACGCCGAAAGTATGACGCACGACATAAATGTAGGCTGTGGGAAATCACCTCCTTCGAGCAGTGTGACCCCGAGTCCCTGACTAAGAAATATCAACACCTTTGATGACGTAATATCCGCATAAAAATTATCGAAATCTTCTCGGTTGATCCAACTGCACAAAAATACTGTCGGCCTAACTAAAGTGAAAGTGAAAGCACGAAATTCGGGACCGTCTTCATGACAACAGGAAATGCACATGCAAATCCGTATTGACAATTATTAACCTTTAAAACTGCAGACGTGATGGAGTCAAATCTTTATTAATGACTTATTAACAGAACTGCAACTGTGATGGAGAGCGAGAAGCATTTTGAAATAATAACATTTTGAGCTGTATTATCACCAAATAGAAAGACTAAACACCAGCCAGTGGGATTTGTCACAACCTGGCAACCTAATTATTTGTTCTTATTAATGTTTTTTAAAAATAAAGCCATTAGTTAATTTATAAGCCACAAAATAGAATATGTTGAAATATAACACGAATTATTAACATTAATAATATTTAAAAACACTGGAGTAAAATAGGTTTATATAATAAGATTTTAGAGTTTTTTCTGACACGTTAGTCTTTATTAACAAATCAAAAATGGCTCTGTAATAAAACTATGTTTGCACGGTTCATTGTAATTTATTTTACTGCACGTTTTATTGCAATATATTTATTATTCAAATATTGTAGCAACATAAATTAACGTTAGATTAACTAGGGCCACTTTTTGCATCTTTCTTACAGGGAGGCAATATAAGAATAGGTTTATATGACCATCAAAAAGAAGGATTTAAATTTTTGCATTTTGCAGCATTTATTGTTCATATAGTTTGACTTTTTTTCTTATTTTTTGTTATTGATCTGCTTTGGTGCAGGATATCTACTGCTGCCAACTTAAACACCCTGCATACATGCAGTGACATCGGTTAGTTCAGGTTATCAACAAGGGTAAGTTACAGTAGTTTAACGTTGATGTAAAAATGCACTCAAAACACGATGGGGAATTTTCCCACAGCATTGAAAGCACCACTGCTGCTCCCCCTGCAGGTCGCCGGATCTTTTTTGCTTAGCAAAGCGCACTGAGTTCCGCTCCGTCTGGCCAATCCTGTGGTGCTGTGGCTCAGCAGCACCGTTGCAGTGTACAGAGCTCATACGGAGGTGCTGCTCACTGTGGAGAGGGAGCATTTGGAGGAAAGATACTCGACCTGGGCGACACCACGGCTTCTTCCCTGACACAGTCACCGCGTGACATTGCCACAACCAGCTTCAGTCCGGGTGAGTATTTCATTAACGTTACCTGGTAGCTGGCAAAACATTCAGGGGTTTCCAGGTAGTCGCAGTCAAGGGCTGCTGGTGACTTGGAACATCATCAGCACTGTTGTGTTGATGTGGACCTAAACCCGCGGCAGGAAGAGGCTTCATCGCCCGCGGGCTGGCACAAGTGTTAGCTGTCTTTAAGTTAGCTGAGGACCACAGAGCAGAGGCTTCGGCTTTGGAGCCGGGCAGACAGCCGTTCCGGCCTGGTCACGACTGGTGAGAAATTAAGACGAGGACGTCTAGCAGTTGCTGACTAGAGCAGGCACGCCAACGGCAAGCTAAGGCAACGTTAGCTAACGTTGACGTACAGGTTCAGGCTTCGTGGCAGCGCTGAAACAGCCGTTAGCTGACGTTAACGTTAGTTAGCAGGTAACGGACAGAGCCACTCAGATAATACGACGGCTAGCTACAGTGTTTAAGATAAGTCCTACCTTGTTTTCAATCCTACACCACTTGGTTGAAGGCTTCCCCCCAGTGCTGTTTTAATAAACTGTGATTGGACAGAATAGTGGTTTACATGAGCATGTGGTTACATGTCATTTCATGGAGCTTTTTGCTGTGCTGGTGTTGAAGATTACCATACCATATTCCACACCACATTCCCACAATATATGTATATAAGTAAGTGTAGATGTTCTTGTTTCTGTTATTTTTGTATACATGTCCTGTGTGTAGCGTGGAGGGTGAGACAAAATAAATGTACCATTTAGTTCAGTGCTTGAAGTTTCCCGCAGCCAAACAACACTCCTTTAATAGCACTAACTCATTCCTCTCTTTTTTTTATGTTGACACACTACTGTTGTTAACGCTGACACTAGTAAATAAAATGAATGCTGCTTGGAGTGATATTGGTCTTGATATGTAAACTACCCCTCAAACAATGGCGTCATGGGTAAAGATGTAGAGCTGAAGATCCAGATAATTCCATGCCATCTGCTGCTCATCCTCAGTCATCATAGTCCTCCTCTCTCCTCCTTCTTTGCTGTATCTCTGCCACTATGTGTTTTGGGACTGGGCTGTCATCAGAGCTGTGGCCTATTTTAGACAGAAACTCCATTTATCCACTTAATCTATTTCTCTGTCTCCAAGAGTTGAGTATCTTCTGTGGCTTAGTGTAACAAAACTTATCCAGCTGCTGTTTGACGAGCAGAAGGCCCTAAAATGTATCATTGTGGAGCTGGTGAAGTCACCTATCAAATGGTATACTGTAGTTATAGGCCCATGTGCTGAATCAAACTGTAAGCTTGCCTAATGGTTTTCAAAGGGTGTTCACCAGAAGCTGAGGTCAACTCTTAACTTTGTGTCTGTATTTGAGTTGACTAATAATGCACAACACTGTTGTTTGTTGGCCACTCATCTGCAGCAGATTATCTGCAGCTTATTGAGACAGCTCTAAACCAACACAAATCTAAACGTAACTGTTTTGAGCCCCAGAGTGAGTGTGTTGCCTCCCTCCCACCTGTGATGATACACACGCCTAAGGGATCAAAGCCGTAATTAGCCTGCCATGGATTAGTAGTAGGGACTATTTTCCACTGTACTCACTCCCACAGAGCCAGAGGATCACACAGGCAGCCAGCCCCCTGCCCTTCTCCTCTTCTTCCAGTAGAGAAAACATGAATTGCCATTGTTGTTGTCTCCTTGAGGCCAAGCAAACGGGAAACCTCACAGTGCATCCCCTGGAGAGCTTGGATATCCAGCATTTCATAAAATCGCTTATGGTGTTTTTCTTTGTCATTCAGCATCCAAATCTCTTCTTGATGTACTTATAACTCACCAGCAGAGTTTCTCTAGTTGTGTTGCGTGCTGATCAGCTGGATATGTGATTGGCATGCAGAGAGAGCTGTGGTGCTGCTGACTCACTGCACTGTCAGGTATGAGGTCTGGCTGTGTTTACTGTCTCCGTGATGTAAGGTATGTCTCTCTGTGAGCCAAACACGAGTTCACACTGTTCCTCTGGGGGCTCCAAAGGGGTGGAGCAGCATGACGTTTGTACTCTCTTGTTTGTAAATGAAACAGTGCTTTCTAAATTGATTGCAGCAAGGTTTGGAAAATCACATGGCGTATAGCCCAAGCAAATGGCATTGTCATACAGACAGTTCTGCAAAAGGCAGTGCACGTCAGGAGGGAGACTTGCATTTAGGACTGCAGCTAACTTTTTTTTTTTTCATTAACTATTAATCTGCAGATTTTATTTATTTATTTATTTTAATTATAATCAGTTTAGATCATATGGAAGAAAGAGAAAGAAAACGATTGTTTGCTTGTTTTTGCATGAAAATGTTTAATCAGTTCATGAAATATTTGCTGATTAATTTTCTCTCAATCAGCTAATTGACAAATCGCTGCAGCTCTAGTTGTGTTACTTAAGTTACAGGATTTAGTCACTGTGTAATGATTCCGTTTTACAGAATTTTACAATTTGAAAACATAGATACATCAACATGTTACATGTGTTTTATAAGAGTGTTCCGGACATGATTTAATTGATACAAGCTCAGGATGAGAAGCAGGTTACATTTGAAAGCATTCTTTCAGAGTCCACAATTGAAAGAAAGTATATTACAAACTTAACTTCAATCACATTGTCTTGAATACAGAAATGAATAAACAACTCTGAGTCACATCAGCACATCAATACACCCCTACTTTACAGATCAGAGATTAGATGTCCAACTTTAATGACAAAGTAAACATAACTTGCTATAAACTGTTCCCTCAACGCACTCAGGGGCAAAAGGAACCTCCTCAATCGAAGTGCAAACAGTGAATGAACTTAGGACACTCAATCCACCTGTGCCTGCTTCCTGTTAGTGTGCTCTGTAATCCAGCAGTCAGGTGACCTCCACTGTCAACATGTGTGCTATCAAATCATAACATTCTAAAGTAACACATCCATAAATAGGCCAGAAAGCAGAACATTTCCACGATTGAAATGTGTAGAAAAGGATGGATACATCTCTGCCACATCTCACTGTATCTCAAATCTTTAATCTGTAATTTGGAAAGTGGCCTATACTGCTAAACTCTGCCGCCATCATCGAGGCGCTAGTTTGCTAGACGTGTGACGGGGAAATGGCTTGTTCCCATGGAAGTGGTGAGAGGCTTTGTCATTGTTCTGCTGTACAGTACAACCAGTTGCTGACTAGAGCAGGTACGACCTGCGACCCTGTAAATTCACTACCAGATTAGCCTCCTGGAGTCATGACAGTGCTGTAAACTGCGACTGAAACTATTCATGTCACAGTTTACCGGTTGTCCCCAAGACAGCTGAAGTTGCCAGCTATCATCAACATGACTAAAAGTAACCCTTTTAGTGCATGTTGTAATAACTCTGATATTCACAATGTAGACATTTTACAAATAGTGCAAAATTTCTAATGAATGAAATTGATTCGACATGTTGACCAGCCCTGTTTCTGAACCTAAAGTACCAAACCTCAAACTATTAAACTATCAGCTAAGCCTCGGGTATGAAACTGGATCCTGTGACATTTTTGCCTGATAAATGACCAACCATGCTGCTCTGCAGTAGCGCCCCAGAGGTCAGAATGCCTAGGATAGTTGAACATCACACAGGTTTTGCACACTGGGAACCTCTTGAGTTGTTCCACACCAAGGTTACAGCTGTGCAAGCAGTTTGACCCAGGTAGGCTCATTGGACATGCTAATGGGACCTCACGAACAAAAGGAAATTACATATCTTGCTGTTGACCTGAAGACAATTTGCATGAGATTGAAAGGCAGCTGAACTTTTCTGCTGTTTTATTGGGTGTCAGTGTGTATATGTGTGCTTCGAGGGGAAACGCAAGCTCTGCACCATTAATATGGCAGCATGGACGGGTTGCTTAAGCCAAGATAATAGGTCATCATCCTCTCAGAGTCACTGCTCTCTGCTGGGCTTTACCTCCTTGTGGCTCTCTGCTCTCCTGCTCGGCTCGCTGGTCACGACTCGGTGCCTGTCTGAAGCTGAACAGGTGCCAAAGCCTGGTTGATTCCAGGAGCCTTTGAATTATTGCCAGTTATTTGTTGTTGTGGTATGATGGAAAAGATGTGGAAGGAAAGTGGGGGCTTTTTCTGAAGCCAGCTGTGAGAGATGTTTACTGGAGAGTGAGGCACCTGTTTACCAAACGTGTCCCCTTACATTTAGTAAGGCCTAGCTGCTAATGCTGCCGGTGAACTGAGCAATGTTTGAGAATAAG